GGGGGGGGGGGGGGGGGGGGGGCGACGGAAAAAAATATTTCCTTCAATAAAAAATTTGTTTTTAAGAATAAACTTTGGGTTTCTAGAACAGCCAGATCAGATAATGGAACTTTGACAATAATTTTGACTGATTACTGGCACAAAACTCTTCAATCACCTAAAACTTTTTAATTTTATGAAATTCTTTCATATTTCCAACGTTGACTTTTTGATCTGACAAAATGAATTGGATGAAAAACGAAAGATCTGCTATCGTGTAGTGGTATTTAAAATAAAGAGATCAAGCAGTGATCCTCAAATTTAAAAGTGCACACATTGGATATCAAGATCAAGTTTCAAGATAAACCATATCCACACAAAAATTACCTTCTCAGAGGCCGAATTTAAAGAATTTGAGCGGCGGTTTAAATTTAAGCCGCGGCTTAAATATGGTTGGTTCCACTTAAAATTGTATCAAATGTTTCAAGAATTAAGTCGGCGCTTAATTTAAACCGGGTTTTGGTAGATTTAAACCGCTGCTCAAATTCTTTAAATTCCATCTCAGGTTGCATAATTATTAGAATTAGAAAACTAGACATTGAAGCGAGTAATCAATTACTTTTTTATGATTTCTTACTTGGCATTCATAAACTCCAGTATCTTCTAATTCTACAGAATTCAGCTGAAGATTCCAGTCCAGAGATCCAGCAGAGTGAAGCAGTTTCAACCTAGACATAGAGAAGGATTAGTTTTAAACTAGACATGGAGAAGGATATTAGTTCAAACCTAGACATGGGGAAGGATTAGTTTTAACCTTGAAATGGAGAAGGATTAGATTCAACCTTGAAATGGAGAAGGGTTAGTTTCAACCTAGACAAGGAGAAAGAATAGTTCAAACCTAGACATGGGGAGGGATTAGTTTTAACCTTGAAATGGAGAAGGATTAGATTCAACCCTGAAATGGAGAAGGGTTAGTTTCAACCTAGACGTGGAGAAGGATTAGTTTCAACCTAGACATTTAGAAGCGTCAGGTTCAACTAAGACCAGGAAAAGATTTGGGTTCTTCCTGGCCCAGAAGAAGTGTTTGCAAGAGCCTTTTAGGTTCCGATAAAAAAACTAAATCTGCAGATGGAGAAAGGAGATATTGTTAGTTCTTTTTATCAAATTTTCTACTTTAAATGTGAGATATTTCTTGTCCTAACTCCTAGGATTATTTGAAATAGTAGTTTAGAATGCACACAGAAAACATTTAAAGGAATAAATCTGTTCTAACTACTCTTCCATGAAATATCAAGGATTTAGGGGATTTTGAATATAGTTTTAAACGACCATTAATTCATAAGTTTCATAGATTTTTACAACATTACCATTTGTTTTCATTTAATACTCGGCCATTTTTAGATCGAATATGGTATAAAAATCTACAAGTCATTTAAAAATATAACACGGCCACTAAAAATTTTAAAAATACGATAGATTTATGTTGACAGTTGCTTTGGGATTAAAAAGTGTTACCTAGGAGATGACGAAAACATGATTTCTCCGAATGTTAGAACTGTTAAATCCGGAGTCCTACAACATGTTCAACTGTTAAATTCGGAGTCCTAAATCATGTCAAACTCTTAAATCCTGAGTTAAAACACGTTCAACTGTTAAATTCGGAGTCCTAAAACATGTTAAACTGTTAAATCGGGAGTCCTAAAACATGTTAAACTGTTAAATTCGGAGTCCAAAAACATGTTAAACTATTAAATTCGGAGTCCTAAAACATGTTTAACTGTTTAATATGAAGTCTTAAAAAATGTTTAGCTGTTTTATCAGAAGCAACAAAACATGTCCTTCCTTGGTTTATTATTTAAGGTTTTTTTCTGCCTTAAGTATGAAATTTTCAAAACAAAAAATTAATTTTCTGATTTCAATTGAATAAATATACTTATATCAAATGTTTTCACGTGTTTCTCTACATAAAAGTTTTGTTGAGAATTCATTTTTTAAATATTTTAAAGGAATGAATGGCAAAATTTCAGTATATTTGCACGTCAGCATGTGTATATTTTAGACCTGCATAATGAAAAATGAAAAACAATGAATGAAAAGAATGTAGTAGGTACAAAACACCCAATGGCAATAACAAAATGCCCAATGTTAAAAAACGCCAGAAACGAAACGGCCAATTACACAACTCCCAATTCAACAAAACGCCCAATGCAACAAAATGCTTAATGTTAAAAAAACTCCCAAGGCTAATTACAAAACTCCCAATTCAACAAAACGCCCAATGCAACAAAATGCTTAATGTTAAAAAACGCCCAAGGCTAATTACAAAACTCCCAATACAACAAAACGTACCATCAAACAAAACGCCTAATGAAACAAAACGCTCGATTACAAAAACACCCAATGAAACAAAACGCCCAAATTAAACCAAACGCTCGATAGATGAAACCTGATCCATGAATAGATGATACCTGATCCATGAATAGATGATACCTGATCCATGAGTAGATGATACCTAATCCATGAATAGATGATACCTGATCCATGAGTAGATGATACCTGATCCATGAATAGATGATACCTGATCCATGAATAGATGATACCTGATCCATGAGTAGATGATACCTGATCCATGAATAGATGATACCTGATCCATGAGTAGATGATACCTGATCCATGAATAGATGATACCTGATCCATGAATAGATGATACCTGATCCATGAGTAGATGATACCTAATCCATGAATAGATGATACCTGATCCATGAATAGATGATACCTGAACCTGATCCATGAATAGATGATACTTGATCCATGAATAGATGATACCTGATCCATGAATAGATGATACCTGATCCATGAGACTGAGACTGAACCCAGATCAAGAACTCTACATGGAAGAACAACGGTTCCTCCTAAAAATCATGGTTTCTTAAATCTTTTTTCCTTTTTCTCTTTTCCCTTTTTACATTTCCTAATTCTTTTTATTCTTGTTTTCATGTCCGCTTATTATTTTTTGTTGTCTTTCACCTTCCTTTTTCCGTCTTTCCCTCTTTTCTTCCTCTACTAGTCCTTTCTCCCTTCTCCCCCCCGGTCGAGAAAAGCACGGAAAGAATTCCCCCTACTTCGAAAATATGTAAATTAGAAAACAGTTCGACCCTAACAATAGATAGATTAGTTTTTTTTTTACAGGGGCAGAGTTGGGATTTTCAGGGTGTGCGTACTGTAAAGTTTTAGAATTAGATTTTATGTAAAGACCGTGAAATATAAATTGTATATATGTATATATAAAATATAAAATATAAAATATAAAATATAAAATATAAAAACCTTTTTTTCCTTTGTTGAGCAAAGGATAAAAATTAAATATATTTTTATTGATATAAAGTTAACCATTACTGCTCAGTTCAACTAACAGTTTAGGTTGAGTAGATGAAGGGGGGGGGGGAACCCGTTGTCTTCTTAACTATCCCTGTAAGGGGGGGGGAACCCGTTGTCTTCTTAACTATCCCTGTAAGTTTAACTATTAGTATTTCTAATGATAGTTTTAGAATTTTTGTGTAAGCAGAGTTATTCAAATGTGTGTTTCTTTAGAAGATTAAAGAAAAACAAAATATTTTATGTCAATCAAGCAGTAATAAATATAGATGTAAGCTTCAGTGATAACCAGAATACGCTGGAATAGTAAGAGGACTTTTAGAATTAAGTTATAACTTTAAAAAGATCAATAAGGTATGAGACACAGCAATTGTGTAGCGTAATCAGACCCATTTGACTAAATTAGTGAATTTATAAATGTCTAGTAAGACTATTTGCTTTGTAACAACATCAAATACACTTATATATTAATTAAATGTCGTATTCCCATTCCATTGTTTTCTGGTTATCACTTTAGTAATAATAAAAACAATTAATTATGATGAACAATTGGTTTTTGGCAAAGGTTTTGTTCAGAACTCAAATAATCTACAAGTTTGAAATATAAAAGGTTTACACAATCAGGCTGCAAAGATATAAGGATTAGAAAATTTAAGTTAATGCAATCAATGAACATTATATTTAATGTAATTATTCGTTTTGATTTGCTGTGTGAGAAAGTTCAATTTTTTTAACTTCTCAACTCAATGTCTAGTTGTCTTTTAATAGTTCCCATCTAAAACCACTAACCAGTTGGTAGATATGATTAAATGAGAACTACGTATATCCAGTTTAAGTGGCTCTCACGTTCATTAAATCTGCCCAAAAACCTCTTAATACCTTTTCAACAATATTTTGTAGAATTTTTGTGTTTAAATATCGGAGTGACCATTATAACAAAATGAAAAACAAATATCTTTATCATTATCTTTTATCGGCTTAAAGATAATTATTATCTCTTTTATCTGTTCAAAGATGATCATTATCTATTATCGGTTTAAGGATGATCATTATCTTTTATCTCTTAAAAGATTAACATTATTTCTTATTGCTTTAAAGATGATCATTATCTCTTATTGGTTTAAATATGATCATTATCTCTTATTGGTTTAAATATGATCATTATCTCTTATTGGTTTAAATATGACCATTATCTCTTATTGGTTTAAATATGATCATTATCTCTTATTGATTTAAATATGATCATTATCTCTCATTGGTTTAAATATGATCATTATCTCTTGTTGGTTTAACGATGATCATTATCTGTTATCTCTTAAAAGATTATCATTATTTCTTATTGGTATAACGATGATTATTATCTCTCATTGGTTTAAAGATGATCATTGTCTCTTATTCGGTTATTGATGATCATTATCTCTTATCTGTTTAAAGATGATCATTATCTCTTATTGGTTTAATGATGATTATTATCTTATATTAGTTTGAAGATGATCATTATCTCTTATAGGTTTAACGATGATCATTATCTCTTATTGGTTTAAAGATGACCTATCTCTTATTCGGTTAAGTATGATCATTATCTCTTATTGGTTTAGCGATGATCATTATCTCTCATTATTTTAAAGATGATCATTATCTCTTATTCGGTTAAAGATGGTCATTATCTCTTATATTCGGCTAAAGATGATCATTATCTCTTATTGGTTTAAAGATGATCATTATCTCTCATTGTTTTAAAGATGATCATTATCTCTTATCTGTTTAAAGATAATCATTATATTTCATTGGTTAAAAGATGATCATTATCTATTATTGGTTTAACGATGATCATTATCTGTCATTGGTTTAAAGCTGATCATTATCTCTTATTCGGTTAAAGATGATCATTATCTCTTATTCGGTAAAAGATGATAATTATCTCTTATTGGTTTAACCATGATCATTATCTCTTATTGGTTTAACCATGATCATTATCTCTTATTGGTTTAAATATGATCATTATCTCTTATTGGTTTAAATATGATCATTATCTCTTATTGATTTAAATATGATCATTATCTCTCATTGGTTTAAATATGATCATTATCTCTTGTTGGTTTAACGATGATCATTATCTGTTATCTCTTAAAAGATTATCATTATTTCTTATTGGTATAACGATGATTATTATCTCTCATTGGTTTAAAGATGATCATTATCTCTTATTCGGTTATTGATGATCAATATCTCTTATCTGTTTAAAGATGATCATTATCTCTTATTGGTTTAATGATGATCATTATCTCTCATTGGTTTAAAGACGATCATTATCTCTTATTCGGTAAAAGATGACCATTATCTCTTATTGGTTTAACGATGATCATTATCTCCCATTGGTTTAAATATGATCATTATTTCTTATTCGGTTAAAGATGATCATTATCTCTTATTGGTTTAATGATGATCATTATCTCTCATTGGTTTAAATATGATCATTATCTCTTATTGGTTTAAATTCAACCATTATCTCTTATTGGTTTAAATTCAACCATTATCTCTCATTGGTTTAAATATTATCATTATCTCTCATTGGTTTAAATATGATCATTATCTCTTATTGGTTTAAATTCAACCATTATCTCTTATAGGTTTAAATTCAACCACTATCTCTTATCGGTTTAAATTCAACCACTATCTCTTATTGGTTTAAAAATGATTGTTGGAATAGATGTTGAAACTGTTTGATGAGGGTTCCCCAAGAAAATAAATCATATATGGATGACAATAGGAGAACCGGAGATATACTGAACATGCACCGAATATGAAGAATTGTGTTCAAAATTAAATAATAATCCTTGAGAAATATTTTTCAATCGAAGCAACGGAACGATTTGAATTTAGGTTATAATTAAGATATTGGAGAATGGATAATTGGACTACAGAATAATTTGAAGCAATCATAATTTAGAAAATTAGTTTCTCTCTTATAGTTTCATCCTGGATAATTTAGGTCAGTAATCAGGTTCATACAGTGCAACGCAACAAAAATTAAACTAAAAAGACAACATTACCATTACTTTTATAAATCTTACTGACTTGAAACTTTTCAACAGACGCTTAAGTATACAATACATTTCGTTTCAATAGCCAACAGTTATAAATACGTAAGGTTCGCTTTTCTGCTTAAACTTTACATAATTCTAACTCCAAAATATTTTTCGAATTTTTCTGATTTAATTAATCTCCTGTTTAAAGTTTAAATTTAAGGTTTTCCAAATCTATCTGCCCAGTGTCAAGTGACATAGATCTAAAACGTAGAAGCACGTGTATTGCAATCATAGATTTTAGAAATAGAACAAAATATCAGAGAGTACCAGTAAACAGACAGGGAGTACCAGTAAACAGAGAGTACCAGTAAAAAGACAGGGAGTATCAGTAAACAGAGAGTACCAGTAAACAGAGAGTACCAGTAAAAAGACAGGGACCAGTAAACAGAGAGTACCAGTAAACAGAGAGTACCAGTAAAAAGACAGGGAGTACCAGTAAACAGAGAGTACCAGTAAAAAGACAGGGAGTACCAGTAAACAGAGAGTACCAGTAAACAGACAGAGAGTACCAGTAAACTGACAGGGAGTACCAGTAAACAGACGGAAGTACCAGTAAACAGACAGGGAGTACCAGTAAAGAGACAGGGAGTACCAGTAAAGAGACGGGAGTACCAGTAAACAGACAGGGAGTACCAGTTTAAATAAACAGAGAGTTTCAATAAACAGAGAGTACCAGCAAACAGAGAGTAACAGTAAACAGAAAGTACCAGTAAACAGACAGGGAGTACCAGTAAACAGAGTTTCAATAAACAGAGAATACCATTAAACAGAGAGTATCATTAAACAGAGTTTCGATAAACAGAGAGTTTCAATAAACAGAGAGTACCAGTAAACAGAGGGTTTCAATAAACAGAGAGTACCAATAAACAGAGAGTACCAGTAAACAGGGGGTTTCAATAAACAGTGAGTACCAATAAACAGGGAGGCCGAATAAACAGAGAGTACCAATAAACAGGAAGTCCAAATACACTATGTAGTATGGATTTAGTACGTACAATATGTACACTATGCATCATAGTACGTTCAATATGTACACTCAACATCTTGTTCATACATATTGTACACAGTTCATCTAGTACGTAAATTATGTACATCTACTCCTTCTACTCCTACTGTATGAAAACTGTTGCATCTAGTACGATACGTACACTATGTATAACAATTAACAGTTTGAATACTTGGATTAAACATATTTGAGGTTTCTAAACCTAAATTGAATTAAATCTTCGATCTTGCATAATTCATTGATTAACCGTAGTTTCAAAACTTAGAAAACTTTAATCCTCCACTTTGCCAAATTAGGAAAATGTTTTAAATTAGGAATTTGTTTATCAAAATTTGTAAAAATAAGAATTTCTTCATTGATTAGTTAATTAGAAATTTCCATGATAAGTGGGGGGNATTCATTCTCATTCATTCTCATTCATTCTCATACATTCTCATTCATTCTCATTTATTCTCATTCATTCTCATTCATTCTTATTCATTCTCATTCATTCTCATTCAGTCTCATTCATTCTCATTCATTCTCATTCATTCTCATTCTTTCTCATTCATTTCATTCATTCTCATTTATTCTCATTCATTCGCATTCATTCTCATCCTTTCTCATTCATTCTCATTCATTCTTATTTATTCTCATTCATTCTCATTCTTTCTCATTCATTTCATTCTCATTCATTCTCATTCATTCTCATTCATTCTCAGTTATTCCCATTCATTCTCATTCATTCTCATTCAATCTCATTCATTCTTATTTATTCTCATTCATTCTAATTCAATCTAAATGTTTATATTACTTTAACAAATTACAGGAAGTTCTAAGAGGGCCAAAGCTTTCAACTCTTTCGTAGAATTGAAGAAAGTTAAAGAAATGACTCTGGTAATCTTTTATATAGTTATGTAGCTAGCTTAATAGAAATTTCGAATTTTTACTTTCTTTTTTTCTTTTTATTTTTTTCTCTTTTTTTCTTTCTTTCTTTCTTTCTTTTTTTCCTTTTTTTTCTTTCTTTCTTACCTTTTCTTTCTTTCTTTCTTGCTTTCTTTCTCTTACCTACCTAAAATTTTTTATCTACCTATATATCTACCTACCTATCTAGTATCTACTTACCTACCTACATATATATATATATATATACCTATCTACCTACCTTATACATATATTCCTGGACATGTACCTACCTACCTACCTACCTAAATAACTACCTGGATATGTTGTGATATTCTTGTTAATATTTGTAAGTAGCTGTGGTGTATTTGTAGGTATAACTGGTAGCCTGTAGTTTAGTGCAGCCGCTATAATGGGAACATCTACAAAACCTAACGTCAAAAAAATTGTAAAAAATGTATTTTAACAGGTGTTTACCTCCAAGACTTTGATTGTCGGGGACAGTTATTGCAGTATTTTTTGGGAAAGATTAGCAAAGGAATTGAGTCTTTGTCAAAAACTATAGATTTAATCCCTATTTCTTTGCAGCTCAATGTCGTATACTTTAAATATTTTAAACTATGAATTCTTTCAGTTCAACAAATCTAAGTTTGAAATATCAAGGATAACACCATTAGGTTGCAAATATTTAGGGATAAGAAAATTTGTGTTTGTGGCAAAAACTGAATTCCTTTCTACTCATAGGGCTTTTTGTTTCGCATCTTAGGAAGCATTTTAAGCTTGTAAGAAATTAGATTGTTGAACTACCAGCAAGTCACATTTTGGATGAAACAAAAAAAAACCATAAAGATGATATAACAGGGAATTAAAAAAAATCATTTCGTTCGTTCCAGAGAAAGAAAAACACACACACAATGATTTGTAAGTTTTTGTTTAAAATACTGCTGACAATGTTATTCAGATATTTGAGTTTGAGAAATGAGGTTAATTATGTTAATTGGAAACAGATGAACCCATAAACTATTTTATAATGAACTCCATATTGAACTGTTCTGTTCCATGACCGGGCCGGGTCGGCTATCCACCAGGTCTGGTCCATGACCGGGCCGGGTCGGCTATCCACCAGGTCTGGTCCATGACCGGGCCGGGTCGGCTATCCACCAGGTCTGGTCACCATGACCGGGCCGGGTCGGCTATCCACCAGGTCTGGTCCATGACCGGGCCGGGTCGGCTATCCACCAGGTCTGGTCAATGACTGGGCCGGGTCGGCTATCCACCAGGTCTGGTCCATGACCGGGCCGGGTCGGCTATACACCAGGTCTGGTCAATGACTGGGCCGGGTCGGCTATCTACCAAATCACAACATCAAATGGACCGTCAGTCAACCAGGTGAATGCTGTTTGAGACTTTGACACTGTGCTTCTAAAGTTTTCTTTTTCTTTTTTGAAAATAAGAATTTGTTTCTAAGGGACTGTATGCACATTTTCCAATTTGTTTCTAATGGACTGTATGCACATTTTCCAATTTGTTTCTAAGGGACTGTATGCACATTTTCCAATTTGTTTCTAAGGGACGGTATGCACATTTTCCAATTTGTTTCTAAGGAACTGTATGCACATTTTCCAATTTGTTTCTAATGGACTGTATGCACATTTTCCAATTTGTTTCTAAGGGACTGTATACACATTTTCCAATTTGTTTCTAAGGGACTGTATGCACATTTTCCAGTGACTCAATCGATCCAATTCTATTTAGATGTTCAACCAAAACAAAGCATAAAACTTGGGGGAGAATTTACAGAGACTATATATTTGGTTAATAGACATGAAGAGATTATTTCAAAAATGTTTTTAATTTTTTAATTTGTATCATTCTTAAACAATCCGTTACTTCCTTGTTTCATTAAAAGTAAAGAATGAGATTTGAATAGATTGATCATACCAACGTTGCGATCTCAATTGGCTCTAAATAATCACAAAGCATGTTAGTAAATTCTGATTGGATAAGACACTAACGGATTGTTAAAACTAGGCCTGGACAACTTTTCGTAAACGGTGACGGACATTTTTAATGATTAACTCAACCAAAATACAAAAAAAAAACTTTTTTTGATATTAATACCATCTAATCCAAGGTTCTGGATTAAATTAAAAAAATACATATTTAAATGGAGTGTTTCGCGAAAAAATAAAGAGGATATAGGCTTACGGCGAAAAATAATTTATCTGTTGCGTATATAAGGAAAATTGTTAAAAACGATTTATACTGAAGAACATAGCATCCATACAAATTCAGAAAGTTGCAATATACGAATCGGATCGTAAAAAAACAATTTAATTTCAAACAAATCATTCAGATATTACAACCTATTTTTCGACGCATTCTTTTATAGTTAATATTTCATAATATGTTTTATTCGTCTTGTATACAATACACTTAAAACGCCGAAATAGTTGGCCGCCAGATGTCTCTGCTCTCGATGCTTTAAATGATTACACATGGCAGAGATACCTAGCGGAAAAAAGTCGATTTAACAGCATTGTAAATAAAACAAATAACAAATATTAAAATTTCAAAGGTTTACACCATCAGGTTTAAAAGATATAGGAAATAGAAAATTCAAATTTGTGGAAACATTATAAACCAGTAAATAATAAAACCAATATCTCATCAAATAAAATGTTTGTCCAACTTTGAAGATTAATCAGTTTTGAATTTAAGTTTAGCAACGCTAAATCTTTGATTCAAGGAATTTTAAGTTTTGTCAAGTTTAAACTTCTTCTTCCTAAAACTATTATTGCCACACATATTTTCTGTAGCCAACTTGTAAGTTAAATTAGTTTCTAGAAATTAAAGATTAAAGAGACGGAACAGTTTCTAGAAACCACAGATTAAAGAGACAGAATAGTTTCTAGAAACCACAGATTAAAGAGACAGAACAGTTTCTAGAAACCACAGATTAAAGACAAGGAACAGTCTCTAGAAACCACAGATTAAAGAGCCAGAACAGTTTCTAGAAACCACAGATTAAAGAGACTGAAAAGTTTCTAGAAACCAAAGATTAAAGAGACAGAGCAGTTTCTAGAAACCACAGATTAAAGAGACGGAACAGTTTATAGAAACCACAGATTAAAGAGACAGAATAGTTTCTAGAAACCAAAGACTAAAGAGACGGAACAGTTTCTAGAAACCACAGATTAAAGAGACGAAACAGTTTCTAGAAACCACAGATTAAAGAGACGGGGACAACTTTAGGTATAAGTACACCAGCAAAAAAAATATTTTGTTTAGTACATTGATATAAAACATCAACATTGGTCAAGTAGATTATTATAAAAGATGGCCAATGGTCGAGTGCACTAGTATCTATACAATACATATAAAATTGTAGTCTCTGTTTGTCTGTTTGTATGTCAGATCATATCTCAGTTAACCTTAAACCAATTTTCCTAAAATTTTTATTGGGGAACTCGGGAAAACCACGGGAATGTTCTTTGCTTGGTCTTGGGATTTTAAATTGAATAAGTTTACTAGTATGTAGAATAAAAATCACTGTTTGTCGAGTACACAAGTATGTAATAAAAAAATCACTGTTTGTCGAGAACACTAGTATGTAGTGTAAAAATTACTATTTGTCGAGTAAACTAGTATGTACAGTAAAATCAATATTTGTCGAGTACACTAGTATGTAGTATAAAAACCACTATTTGTCGAGTAAACTAGTATGTACAGTAAAATCAATATTTGTCGAGTACACTAGTATGTAGTGTAAAAACCACTGTTTGTCGAGTACACTAGTATGTACAGTAAAAATCACTATTTGTCGAGTACACTAGAATGTAATATAAAAATCACTATTTGTCGAGTACACTAGTATGTAGTGTAAAAATCACTATATGTCGAGTACACTAGTTCAGAAGTGCAACTAGTAAGGGGGGCGGCCGGGCGCGCGCCCAGCCCCTAGCACCTGAGAGGTGGGGGCGCGCCCCCCCCTGCAGAATGAAAAGAAAGAAAGAATGGCGAAAATCAGTATCACAGGAATAAGAAAACCAATAGAGTTAAAGTAGAAATTTTATTACACAATAGTTAGTTTTAAAAAGAATATTTTTATCTTTCTCAATTCTCAAGGCTAAAGGCTATTGTAAACATTTAATGTAAAAAAAAGCTCTGAACTGTATTTTATTTGTGTTGAGTTTATAGAGTACTCGTAGATATCAAACTTTGAATTCTTATGGTAAAATATTCCAAGTTTGAAATATCAAATGTTTACACCACTCGGTGCAAAGATTTAGGGATTAGAATATTTGAGTTTGTGGCAAAAACTCAGTTCCAAATCTAGAGAAAATTCTGAACCTGGCAAATTTCTAACTGATTATCATATTTGATAACTAACAATATTTATCTTCTTTGACAGAAGTTCTGTAAAATCGAAAATGAATTTAGATTATGAATGTTGGTTAGATCAATCATTAATTCAATAACTTCAAGAGAAAAGGTAACATTATCTGTCCTTTTTCAATGTAGATGATTGAAATTATTATTTACCTATGTATTTTAATGTTTTTTTCCAGAAACTATAAATGATTATTTCTTGCAATTTAATCTGTAATTAAACCAGGTACTTAAAAAATACTCTTTTGCGATTCGCACACATATTCAATGAATTGACTCATATCATTCATTTCACAGCTGTTGGAAGTATAAATTTTGTAAAAACACAAGAACAAAAAATCGATTTGAATTGAACACAACCAAATCTGCATGCAACAACTTAAAATTTCCTTTTTTTTCGACTTCAAACCCTTAAAAAAGCACTTTTGTTATTGAAAAATTTTCGAAAACGAGGGGGATACCCCCCCTTAACCTCCCCCCCAAACCCTAACTAAATAATATATTGCCCCCCCCTAGCAAAAGTCCTAGTTGCGCCTCTGCCCTAGTTTGTACAGTAAAATCAATATTTGTCGAGTACAGTACAGTGGCTAAATAGTGAGTACACTGCATAGTATTAAAGATAATAAACCATTGGTTGAGTATATTGTTTGGTTTAGTAACCCCACAAAAACGTCCAATTGAAACCAATTCCCAAACTGTAATTGTCTTTTCAATTGTACACCCTGTTTTTGTATTCTGTTTTTACAGTACTTGCATCTATATTCTAAATTATGTTTCATTTGAAAGTAGAATGACACTTTGGAATTTTAGCAATGTATTCCGCTGCCGCTGAACTGAGATAAATTTGTCAAAAGATTGTGGAATTCAAAAAATGAAATGTCATAACATAAATATTAAAATGTATATAGTTTGCTCGATGTAAAATACAAAAACATATTTTTAGAAAAAGTTAGTTTTTTTCAAGGGGGATTTGGAAAACTAAGTGGGGGGGGGGGCTAAAAAATATAAAAAGTTAATACTTTACCATTGTTTTATAATAAATCAGTAGTTTTACTGATTACTACTTTGATGATAATAATTTAAAACAAGAAATAATATAATTTTCGGGGTCCTGGGCTCGTAACTCTAATTAAGTTTTAAAGGGAGTGACCGGCTATGTAAGGTAGTTGATCTACGTATGCAGTGCTGTGGAAAACTTCTTTCGGATTTATTTGAGACACATTAAACTTTTTAAAGATCTGTAAATCCTGAATTTTAGCGCAAATTCGAAGTTCTAAACTCCTACTTTGGCGGTGGATATGTTTTCAGAATTAGTTTTTTTAATTAAGATAAACTTTTGTATTTTTTAATTCTATTTAATTAGTTCTTTACATAAGTTCATTTTTATAGAAAACATAAAAACGCATTTATTAAGCTTTCTGAATTTAAAACGTATTAATTTTATCTTTAGTGAAAAGGGAGTCTAGGAAGAAAGCATCATCACCGGAGTGCTACCAGAGACCCCGTCCCACCAGAGACCCCCACCGCTACCAATATTGTAACAAATTCAAGAAAACACGAAGACGATTACTACTGTGTAGCGAAGTTGACTGCGCAAGATTTACAATACATAATACTATATCCGCTCCAAATGTGTCTCCTCATGTCCCATGACGCAATCCTGTTCTATGTTGACGCAATCCTGTTCTATGTTGACGCAATCTGGGTTGGGAATCTCGTCGAATTAATCTAAAAATAAAATCTTATATTTCTAACAAAAATAAATGTTTACAATCTTTTTCTGGCAGAGCAATCGACGGGTGAAAAAACTATTTCTACTACCATATTGGAGATTTTGTGAACACATACTACGGTGAACTAGGGTAAGTTTGAACTTAAACTGGACCCTCCCCATGCGAACAAAAATTGTATGGGAAAATATTTAAAAAAAAATAATTGAAATGATCAGGGAAACTAATGTTTGGTGCCATGACAAACTCCTGAAAGACAAACTCCTGAAAGACAAACTCCTGAAGTCCAAAAATCGTTCTCTAGGAAATTACCTAGTTGTATTATTAGAAAAGAATATAATTTAGATTTAAATATTTTTTAAATTTGATATTATGGAGTTTGTATTTCAGAAGTTTTTATTTTCAGGAGTTTGTCTCGTCAGGAGTTTGTCTCGTTTGGAGTTTGTCTTTCAGGAGTTTCTCTTTTCAGGAGTTTGTCTTTCAGGAGTTTGTCTTTCAGGAGTTTGTCTTTCAGGAGTTTGTCTTTCAGGAGTTTGTCATGGCGCCCTAATGTTTATCTACAGTGAAACCATTAATAACGAATACATCGGAAGAATTTATCAAATGTCGTCTTGACAATTTTTCAATGAGTTTTATACTATATTTCGTAAATTTCAGTATTTGTGAAAATAATTAAATAGCCTTGAATATGCAGGAACAGTTTTAAAGAGTTCCATATAATGATATAATCATTTAATTAAAAAAACTAAATATCTGCAACATTTCATGATTAGAAAGTAAAGAATACGACATTTGATGAATTCTTTCGATGTATTCGTTATTAAGGGTTTAACTGTACTTTCTTCAGAAATGAATTGAATTTATTCTAAATCAAAGTATCATGAATATTTAGTAATAAAGTTCTTATAAAAATCCGCGTAAAAAATTGCAATGAAATAAAGGATTTAATAATACCGATGTGAATCGGTCATGCACCTCTCTAAACGGAGAGTCGCTGAAAATTACAACGAAAGCTAATTTTCTCTCTCTATATATTAAAAACAAATGCATTTTGGTTATTTTTTTTATATTTTACAATCTAAAATATGGACTCTACGAACATAAGAATGAATTGCAACTTTAAACTTTTCAGAAAGTCGAAAAAAAAATTAAGGAAAATAACACTTGATGCCGGCCACGAAAATTTTTTCTAAAATTTGTATTGACTCTTTAACAAATGAGAAAGTAAAAGAATATTCATTATTCTTTACAAATTCCAACATTAAACCTAAAGAAGAAAAATTATATTTTTTTCCTTTGTGATAAACTTTAACCATTGTTTTAAAATTTTGTAATTTTTTTAATTATTCTCACAATTTTGGTAGAAAACATCACATTTTCATAAAATATTACAGTTTTTCATTTTGTTTCTCACATTTACAATAAATTTTACGTGAATAATTTGAAAACCTCCAAGAGCTTAACAGTTAAAAGAAAAGGAAAGCTTTTTATCAAAATATTTTGAAAGATAAAAAATCATAGACCAATTTCTTAAAGGAATTAAGTTTTTGCCACAAATCTGATTTTCTAATTTCAATATCGTTGCAACCCGATGTCGTAGACCTTTAATATTTCAAACTATGAATGCTATTAGATCAAATAATGTAAGTTTGAAATATCAAAGGTTTACATCATAAGGTTGCAAAGATATAGATTTTTACAAAAACTGAATTTGTGGCAAAGACTCAATTCCTCTACCCTAATGGTGCCTGATGTATGCATATATATTATATTATATATATATACCTGTCTTCCAGTTCGTATTTTGATCTATCATATGAAGCAGCCGGTCCTACCACTTCAGGACAAAATCAAATAAAATCAATTAATCAAATATTAAAAATATTTCTATGACAGATCAATTAAGCTAGTCAATAAATTGAACAACTCTTTAATCAATAGATCGAAAAAAAGAAATAATCAAATATCAGATCAACTGTGAGATCGATTTTAAAACAAACCTATTAATTAGTTATGTAATCAATGATTGGATCAATTCCATCATCAAAAATCATGGTTTCTATCAATCAATCAATTTTGCAATCAATTATTGAATTATCGAGCAACCAATTAACGAATAAATAAATAAATCAAATGATCTTTCGATCTCCGATTAATTAAAAGCATAATATTTTAAACGCTTAAACAGAACTGATGGATAACGGTTTGGAAAAAACGAATAAACATGAATCTTTAAAAAATTCATTAAATTGTACGTTTTTGAATTTCAAAGCCGAGTGCAGCAAGAATTAAAACCGTGTAAGAATCTATTTTTTGTACTTAATCTTTTAAATCCACGCCGAACTCAACAACAGTAAACAATTGTTACGATAATACTAACAATAATAAAACTGCCTTTTAACATTAACAGTATTAATTTTACAGGTGAAGAGTAAAAGAATTATTTATTCTAGAATCAGGATAAAACTATGCTGGGTCATAAATTAAAATTAAATCAAATTTAGTTTGTTGTAAAGGAATTGAGTCTTTGTAACAAACTTTGATTTTCTAATACCTATATTTTTTCCACCTGATGGTGTAAACCTTTGATATTTCAAACTTGGATTTTTTCATCTAACAGAATTCATGGTTTGAAATATCTAAGGTCTACGGCATTTGATTACAAAGATATAGAGATTAGAAAATCATAGTTTGTGACAAAGACTCAATTCCTTTGGATCATTCAGTTCAGTCTTTTCTTATCCAGCAAGACCTGGATAAGAAACTAGAGCGTGAAAAGACGTGCTAAATATTTAACAAAAACACTACTGAGAAATCAACCTTGTCTTAAACAACAATGATAAAAAATGTCCGGTCAAATATTTACAACAAAAAACGATTAAAAAACATATTTAAATGTATCAAGCAAACTATTATTTATCAAGCTCCAGTAAGACCCATACAACTGTTAAATATGAAGACGACATTTAAGAAATCTTATGTGTATTATTCGATGTTATATATTATAAAGCTTTGTAGATTATCAAAGCGTTGGCAGGTTACTCATAGTTACTACCGCCTTTTACCCGCGGTTTGTTCTAAATTATGGTTTAGCAGTGCCCGGGGTTGACGTGCAACTTAAAAAAAATTCTATACATTTGTTTTTGCCTGGGGGATACCCATAGATTTCATCAAACATTTTTGCAATTTGGTTCAGCCGTTTGGCCAGCTAAAGCAAACATATAAATAAGCAAAGAGCTTTATTATATAGATGTCAAATCAAAACTTGAGACTAACAGTCGTCTTCCTTTTCCACAGTTTTATCTAACCACGTTTTCTAATCTATGCTTGGTCGTCATTTTTCATACAATCACATCACAGTCCTCTGCTGCTTTACTAATTGTAAATTGGCGGTACAGTCCAAAGTAGGACTGCAAAGGTTGGCCCAGCTCGGATATTCAAACGTACACTGGTGGGGCGAGGTACAGTCCAAAGTAGGACTGCAAAGGTTGGCCCAGCTCGGATATTCAAATAAAAACTTCTAAAATTATCATTTACCAACATTTTATCAACCTTTTTCATATATTATATTTGTCTATTTTTCTTTGAAAGTTTTTCAATGTGACCCTGCCTAAGTTTAATGAGGAAAGAAGAATTAAGAATTTTCTCCACATTTTAGTGCATTCTGAAAATATCTAAGAAAATCAACATTTTTAAAACATTTCGTGAAATCAAAGCATTTCGTTTATCTAACTTATTCTAAAGATGTCTCTAGCTCTTAGATCATTAAGGACTTGAGTCTTTGCCACAAACTATGATTTTCTTATCTTAACATTTTTTAAACCTAATGCTGTCGACCTTTTATGTCTCAAACTATGAATTTTGTTAGATAAAATAATCCAAGTTGAAATATGAAAGGTTTACTCCATCAGGTTGGAAAGATTTAGGCATTAGAAAATTTGGTTTTGCTGCAAAGATTCAATTTTTCCGAATTTTCATTCTACGGAGTTTGTCTTTTCATAGTTTGTTTGTTTTAACGCCAAGAACAGAAGCTCCGGAAAAAAACTGATTGCTCGCCTCAAATTCTAATCTTATTTGCCAGGCAAAGCCTTTCATTTTTGCCATGCAATATGATTGCGTTTAAAACCTTTTTATATGTCAAACGGTGACTATTTGATATGCTAGATTTCACAGCTTGACATATCAAATGTCTACGACATTTGGTTGCAAAGATTTAATGATTAAAAAATTTAAGAACTCAATTCCTTTAAAATTAAACTTTTCTAAATTTTCCTCTTTGTTTTTTCTCTTAGTAACAGTTTTAATATAAACCACAACATGTGACACATGTTCCCCATTTGTTCACTATTTGCACAAAATTAGATGGGGCCTTTTCCCTTCCTAACACATCTACTATTCATTGCTCTAAATACTAGAAAATCTTGTTGTTCACAAATATATATTTGTAAAAAAGCATTGGCATTTTCTATTTTTTCATGCGTTTTAAATATGAGTAAGCTTTATAAAATTCGGGTAAACTATTTTTTGATGCTGAAGTATTGTTGTGTTGAAGTTGTAAAGCTCTGTCATATAAACAACCGTCCTACGTGCTTAAACTTCAGGGGGGAAGAATCGCAGGAAATTTCTATAAAATGAATAAAATCTCAAGTATTTTACAAAATATTCAAAATTTTCGGGAATACTTGATAAAGCATTTAAAGTGATTTTAAAGCAATTTTTCATTTAATGCGAATTTTTTAGATAAACTTTTAAAAGTTTAAAAGTTAAAATTATCACTTTTAAATTGATATGATGACTAGATTTACACACCTTTAAAAACTATATACGATATAATGGATGAATTTTCCTGCGTTACCATTTGTAAGTTCTCGATTTTTTTATGTTTAGAATAAAATCAATTTCAACGAATGATTCATCTTACACCAATTCTTTAAAAAAAATAATGGCTAACCCTTTTTGAGTAATATGATAAAAAAATATCTTTTTTATGATCTATCTTTTTGCATTTTCACAAGTCTGTGAATATATTATCTTCAATTCCAAACTTAAATTTTTGTTTAATAAAACTTATGACTGGACTGACCGCCAGGTAAAAACGTTTAATACAAGTCTCAATCAGTTTCATTTATTTCATATTACTTAGAAAACGTCAACTTTGACAGAATCCGAGGGATCGGTGGAAGGGGGGAGTTCAGAATTGGAGTGAGGGAAGGGGGGGGAGGGGGCAGGAATTGCGTGGTGGGGAGGTGTATTTAATTTAATAAGACGTCAATTTGAATTATTTCAAGCTATGCTGAATCAAAAGCAGAAGTTAATTTATGCTCATATAGGGCTCGAAATATTTTGTGAAGGGAATGAGAGGATCAGGACGAAGGTAGGAGAGGACAGAGGTAAAATCATAGTTTTTAAAAATATATATTTATATTAATTCATATTGTATAATAGTATCATTCTGATGAAGGCTATTGTAGGTTAAATAATGCTGGTGCAGCAAATTTAATGAATTTATTTTAATTTTTATATTTTTAAAAAAGGAATTGAGTCTTTGCCACAAACTCTGCTTTTCTAAACCCTACATCTTTGGATTCTAATGTCGTAGACCTTAGATATTTCAAACTATGAATTCTGTGTGATCAAATAATATAAGTTTGAAATATCAGAGATTTACTACATTGGGTTCCACAGCAATAGGGATTATAAATTCAGAGTTTGTGGCAAAGACTCATTTCCTTTATCTATTTATCTTATATGATTTATTTGCTTTAGAACGAGTGAGCCTCATCAGGGGAGTATAAAGGGGGTGGGGGCACTGGGGCATGGTGAAAAATCTCAGTTTTCCTCTTTTATAATCAGAAACCCTTGCTTTGAAAACATCTCTCTGGTTTTCTCTTAATCCTGTTTTGGTTTTTTACTTTTCAAATAGATCAATAGCAAATTAGAATTTCTAGACCACAGCGCATGGGCGCTCAATTTAAGTTTGTTTAACACAGCTAGGATTTAATTGTCTCAAAGAAATAGTTTTGAAGAAAAACTTATTTCTTTAAGATATTCCTCTTTGTTTAAAATGTCGAAGAGAAGAGAATAATTTCACTGTATATGCTGTGCTCACGGTGTCTCAAGTTAAACTAAAGCAAAAAGCTTTCTCTAAGTTGACGGTCAACTTATTTGACCGGAACAGAGACAAAAGCGGCGCTGGAAATCTATTTGATTGCATTTACTAACAACATCATGTATATCCGGGTCTAAAATTGGCAACTCAGCAATCATGCATGATTTTATTTTTAGACAACAACGTGTTCTAAATAGTCAAAGTACACTCTTCATTTGTTTACTTTATTGTTTACAGTTACATCAGTCAGTACATGTATTCATTGTTTTGTTTATTTTTCAAACAAAGAATATTATTGTACCTTGAGCCTACCTAGAAACGACTTGAAAGCTCAAAAAGTGCAAATTTGTAAGGTTGACGGGTACTAATTGCTCTCTGCCAAAAACAAGAGAATTTGTTGCGATGGCTACAGTAGTGCTTTAGCAAGAAAAATTTCAAGGTGGAAAAGGGGAAGAACAGATGGGGGGGAGGGGGCGTATCAAACAGTTATAATACGAAACACTTCTATTGGGAAACAGTTCTTTTTGGAAACAGTTGTCTTGTAAAAAAGATCTATTGGGAAAGAGTTTTCTTGGGAAACATTTGTCTTGGGATTTGGAAACCCTTCTTTTGGGAATCTTATGAGAGACAGCTCTTCTGGGAAACAGTTTTTTGTATATTGGGAAACCCGAAACAGGTATATTGGGACACAGTTTCCTTGGAAAACTTTTTCTCTTGGGACTGGGAAACCCTTCCTTTGGGAAACAGCTCTTTTGGGAAACATTTCTCTCGGGAAAAAGTTGTCTTGGGAGACAGCGCTTTTGGAAAAGATGTATATTGGGAGACTGTTCTTTTAGGAAACAGCTCTTTTGAAAAACAGCTGTCATGGGAAACAGTTCTCTTGCAATGAGATTTAAAAATTGTATGATTTCAAGCAAAAATCGATGAAAATTTTGCTAATTACTTTTTAAAACCAAATCATAACAAAATCCAAGCCTTCAACACTTCAAAGTCGACCCTGTCTTAAAAATTGATGAGAATTTATAAGCAGACTGAATCTATTTGCTTGTGAAATAGGTATATTGGGAAACAGTATTTTCTTTTGTCCAATTAGGACTGGGAAACCCTTCTCTTTAGAGACAGCTCGTTTCGGGAAGCTTTTATCTTGGGAAACAGTTGTCTTTGGAAACAGCTCTTTTGAGTAACAGTTCTCGTTATCAACATTTGTGTTTTAACGTAAAACATGTACTTCGCTAGGATTGGGGTATATATGTAGGTAGTTATATAAGAAGACATATTGTAAAAAGTAAAGGCTTTTTCTTTTCATTTTGTAAATTGTTATTTGATTTATATTTATAACATACAATAATGTCTGCCTCAACAAACCATGGAAACAAATAAACCAGGTTCTATCTTTATAAACTAAAATCTAAACTCATATAAAAGCTAGTAATACAAAAAATGAGAATATAATACAAGACTATTTAAACTTCGTTTCTACAAAGACAAAGTTCTTTGAAAATTTTCTCAAAGTTTTCATCTCTGATAAATGATTTTACTGAATTATGCAGTATATATCTTGATACTCTATCATTTAAGATAGATATAATAATAATATAAATAATCTATTTATAATAATTGCTAGAATTACATAAATATAGTAAACAATACAGTGAAACCCTTAATAACGAATACATCGGAAGAATTTATCAAATGTCGTCTTGGCAATTTTTCAATGAGTTTTATACTATATTACGTAAATTTCAGTATTTGCGAAAATAAATAAATAGAAATGAATATGCGGGAACAGTTTTAAAGAGTTCCATCTAATCATATAATTAAAAAACTAAATATCTGCAACATTCTATTATCAGAAAGTGAAGAATATGACATTTGATGAATTCTTTCGATGTATTCGTTATTAAGGGTTTCACTGTATAAAAATAGTTGCAGATTTTTTGCCTGTAATATTATAACTTGTATGTGTATTTTTAGCAATAAACTATATCTTATCTTATCTTATAATAATGCATAAACAATTTGTACATATCTATTACAGCTTTGCATATGAATTTTATATCGTTTCACTATTGTATCATGTAAGATTCTAACTATATAAGCAGCCATTCTCAAAACTTAATGCTTTTTAAGAGAAACTGTTTTTGTAGCTATTGGTGGATGTAAAAGCCAAATATTTGTTATTGGAGATAAGAATGCTGAAGGTGGAGTAAGAGTTGTCGAGGCTTTCCGACGTGGCGTGAGGCAGAGAGGTGATTTTGATTGGCTAGGAGGTCATCAGGAGGCACTGGAGGTCAGTTCGCGTGGCTCATGGTTGCTCTGCTCCCCCTCCCTCCCCTGTTTAGTTTATACAAAGAATATATTTACATAACCAAAAAAATATTTTAGTCAACACCCTGTACAGTGTACACAATGATACACATCGGTCTTGTGTTTACATTACCGCCCAGAGACAGTACACTGCAATACAAAAGATGCGTACACCTCTGAAATAACTTTCCTTGCATTACAACCTTGGTCTAATAGAACTACTATATACTCGACACCCTGTATACCAAGTTTATACCTAAAAGATCAACTATTC